CTTCAGTTCAGACTTTGGAAATAGGGTTCTGCATAGGCCCATTTCAGAGACGGGGAAACCTGAGGCCCAGGAAGAAGTGACGTGGCCAGGGTCACCCAGACTAGAAAGAGCAGAGCTGGATGATAAGTCCAGTTGTCTGACTCCAGAGACTGGGATTTTAGCCACGAGGCTACACAGGCCCTTCATGGTTCAGTCTCCTGCCAGCTCAGTGACCTTTGTCCCTTCCTAAAAAGTCAGAGACAAATTAAGGCCTAAAGCCAACCCTGACCATAGCCTGTAAGGCTCTATATGAGCTGCCCTGTCACCTCCCTGCCTCATTTATTTATTTATTTATTTATTAAAGATTTTTTATTTATTTATTTGAGACAGAGAGAATGAGAGACAGAGAGCATGAGAGGGAGGAGGGTCAGAGGGAGAAGCAGACTCCCTGCCGAGCAGGGAGCCCGATGCGGGACTCCAGGATCATGACCTGAGCCGAAGGCAGTCGCTTAACCAACTGAGCCACCCAGGCGCCCTCCCTGCCTCACTTCTTTCCCCGCATCCCTTGTTCACTCCTGCCACCTTTGCCTCTCTACTTTTCCTCTAACATAACAGACATGCTCCCACTCCAGGACCTGTGAACTGGCTGTTCCCTCTGCTTGTCACCTTCTTCATCAGGCTCACTTAGCATCCAATGTCACTTCATTTAGGTCTGTACTAAAATGTCACCTCCTCAGAGAGCCCTTCCCTGACCCCAGCATCCCTCTTCTCTTCCTGTCCCCTGTGTCACCATCTGGAATTATCATATGCCTTTACTTGCTATTTCTTCCTCATCCACCAGCCTGAGAACTCCAGGACAGGAGGGACAGGGGCTCTGTCTCATTCTTTGCCACAGCCTGAAGATGCTCACTGTGTGTGGCATGAATGGCCCCGTTCCCCAGATGAGGAAAATGAGGCTCGGTCAGGTGGATTCTCTCCGCAGGTCAAGGGCAAAGGCTGGATTTGAGCTCTTACTCAGGAGTGAAGACAGTGGGCTCAGATGCCCCCCGAAACTCTGTCCTCACTTGTCAGTTTGCAGTTCCCTCAGGCCCGAAGCCCTACCTGCAATTCAGAGGAGCCTGCAGTCAATCTGTGACTGGTGAAGGGGGGGGGGGCGCCCTGGCAGCCAGGGCCCAGGATTGTGGTTTGGAGGACACCCCCTTCTGTCTGCAGACATCAGAGGGATGTACTTTGCAGAAGTGCAGTTCTCAAAACACCAGCTCCTGGCTGCCCAGCCCCAACAACAGCCCTCTGAGCCTTACCCACAGCCCTGGGGGTGGGCAGATCTTATGCATGTGGGTGTAGTAAGAGCACAGAGGCTCATGGAGGCATGAAGGGGGGGGGGGGGCTCCTGGTCCCACAGCGAGTCAGTGGGCAGGGCTACAATCTGATTCTCACCCACCTATCTGGAGTCCAGGAGACCTGGGTGTTAACCCCCAACTCGCTGTGCGACCTTGGGCAAGTCACTTCTCTCCGTTTTCTCGGCAGGAATGGCGAGCCAAAGACGCTGGGAGTTAACAGGCAGGTTGGTGTTGGGAGGCCCTGGCACGGGCACGGGCAGGGGCACGGGCAAGCGCCGAGGTGAGCCGGAACTCCGCGTCCGCAACTTTTCCGCCAAGTTCCTCTGCATCCGCCAGGCGGCCGTCTCCACTGCGCTGGGCTGGACGGGGAGAGCCGCCTGGTGCCGCCCGGGGAGGGCGAGGACCGCACCCGCAGCCTGCGGTCGGCCGGCCTGGCGCCCACTCTCCGAGGCGCTCGATACGCATGAAATAATAACCTGGGGCGCCACGCTCGTGGCGCCGGCCGCGACTTTGCTCTGCTCGGGGACTAGAGCCCCACAGGCGGGTCCGGACTCGGAACGCACACTCAGCCTGTGCCTTTCTCGTCACCCAGCAGAGGGCGCGCGGAGGGAGGGGCGCGCGGAGGGACCGGTTCCCAGGACACCGCAGGGATGAGGGAGAGCCAGAGATGAGAGGAGGCGAGGACCCAAGTGGAGACAGAGGCCACGGGCCAGAGAGGGACCCCAGTCCAGCTGCCTCCACCCCTTCCTGGGGCCCCGGCAGCGCCTCCCTCGGCGAGAGGATTTTGGAGGTACAGAGGGGCACAGGGGGGCGGGGTAGGGGTCGGTACGTTGGCCCTGCCCCCAATTCAGGCAAGCCCCCCCCTCCCCGCCCCCACTACCACCGGAGTCGTTCTCTTCCTCCAGCTCCATCTGCCTCTTGACAGATCGTGGTGGTGCCGTGACTCAGCCCCGCAGGGCGCCAGGAGCACGAGCTCATACATCCCCAGGTCTGGAGGGGAGTTGTGGATGCCATCTCACATGGAGGGCAGTGCCCTCTCTCTGGGGGTTCTTGTGACTCAAGTCTAGGGCTGTCTGGATCCCCTTTTTGGTGGCTGCATGAACTGCAACGTGGGTAGCACTGGAACGCCCTGCGTGCACTCAGAGAACCCCCTTTCTGGAGAAACAGGCTGGCAGGAAGCCCATTCTAAGAAGCGAGGTTCCCACTGGAGGCCTCTCAGTTCCCCCTTCCTCCTTCTGCCTAAGGGTGGGGGGAGGACGCTGGCACCCATGCCTTCCCTCTGGCCACAGCCACTGGAGGCTACGCAGGCCCACAGCGAAACAGAAACCTGAGCCCTGCCGGGATGTGGTTGAGGTTCCTGTTTTTAATTCCCACCCTGGCAGAGCAGGGTCTACTCAAACCCCACCTCCTCTCCTGAGTCCAGGTCCCTGAGTGACTATCTACTGAGCACTCACTGTGTTAAGTCCTTTACACACATCCCCAACCTCACAGAACTCTCAAACACCCCCCCCAACAGAGCAGTACCAAGAGCCCCACTTCACAGATGGGGAAACTGAGGCCCAGCGAGGGCAAGACCCTTGTGCCGGGACCCCAGGCATCAGACAGAGGGGTGCTGGGATCTCAGCTGTGCCATTTCCTGCTTGTGTGAGCTTGGGCACGAAGGAGAGACTTTGCTCCTCTGGGCCTCAGTCTGTCCAACAGGAACACCTCCTGAGGCTCTGGAGACAACACATGTGGAAAAGTCCCCGGCACGGAGCCCGAGGGTGAGCCATGAGGAGATGGATACCACCAAGATAATGATGATGATTACCACTCAGCCACTGCCCCCAGAGAGTCAGCACCCCAGACACCAGGGTAGGGGGAGTCCCCGGGGTCTTAAAAAGGAAGAGGGCCCAGTTCTGATGGCACCCCACTCCTTCAGTGGTCTCTCAGGACAGTGACCTGAGCTAGTTTGGCGTTCAGCCCCGGGTCTTGGCATTTCCTGTTGATTCCAGCTTCTGTTTTCCTTCAGCTTCTCTCCAGTTCCCTTTGGGAAATAGCAGGCTGTGTGTGCCGGGCCCATGACACTCGCTTCCTGCCTCGGGGCAGGGGTGCTGGGGCTGGGTATGTCTCCAATGGGAGTGTGTGGGGGCGGCCCAGGGAGGGGGGGTGGGTAGGGCCTGCTGGAAGGCCCCAGAGAGAGCTAGAATTGTAGGGTCACAGCCCAGAGGGGCCTCCCTTGGGAACTCCAGGAGGGAGAGGCCCGAATCTGACCATCTTAGCGATGTCGCAAGCAGAGGGGCACCAGTGGTGGGTCAGACAAAACGCACAGTCGAAGCTGTCGGTCACAGAGTCAGACCCCCGAGGACCACTAGAGTAGATACTGTAACTAGAAACACCAGCTGGTTCGAGGACAGCACGGCGGGCAAATGGGAGCGCACCCCAGAACTCAGACGACTCCTGGACGCAGGGAACAGAGGCAGCTGAGAGCATGTCAGCGTCTCAATCAGTGTCGCTGGGAGCTCGGACAGTCCCGCTGATGCGATCACACTGTCCCAGGGCCACCATCACTGCCTCCCGGGAATGCGTGCAGTCACAATCGGTGCCTCAAGAGCACACGCAGTCACTGTCACAACCGCCGTCCCAGAAGCACACAGTCACATCGTCATGGTCCTGGGAGCTCACACGGCCATCCTGCCACAATTCCTGCCACCCCTAAGTACACAAGTCACACGGTCACAGTCACTGTCCTGGAAGCACACACACAGCCATGATGTCACAAGCACCGTCTCAGGAGCACATATGGTTCCACGGCCAGTCACTGTCCCCAGAGCACACACAATCCCATGTCACAGTCGCGGGTCCCCAGAAGCCCAGGCAGCGCATGCAGCTAAGGCAGACACACCAGTCGTACCCCAACAGCTGGAGCCAACCCAGGTCAGTGAGAGGGCGCCGTCAGAGCCAGCCCAACACCTGCCCTCTAACACCGTCCCCTCGGGGAGGCAGGGACTCCCTTACCCTGTGCCGGGACCGTGCACCCTCTGCGCACGGTCCCTCCCTCTGGTCAGCTACTGAACCCTAACACTCCTGCCCTGAGAGGGAGCGCCAACGCAGCACACAGGCCCCCAACACGGTGCTCCCCCAAGAGGCTCCCTCTGGATTTCTGACCCCAGTTGCTTCAGGGCGAGTCCCCGAATGCTCCCCCCACCCCATACAGTCCTCCACCCCTTAAGGGGACTCTGAGAGCCCCTCAGCCTGGAGGAAACATTGTGATCCCAGCAGGCGCCCCCTACAGTGCCCTCTAGGTCGTCCACAAACATAATGAATCTAGCTGCCAGTACAGGGCCCCCAGGAAAGTCCCTTCAAGTCGCCAACCTATAGCCACTGTCCTGCGCTGTCATCAACTAAGGTACAGACTCCCAAAGCTGCAGCCCGCAACCAAGACGTCGTAAATACTACACGCAGCACGGCTCCCCCGAGGTCGACCCCAGGACCGGCTTCAGTAGGAAGGGTACTCGTGTACGGGGCACCACCAGGGTCGCGTCCCCGACGCCCCCACAGCAGAACTCCCCCTCCCCTCCACACCCCCGCCAGTCACTCGGACTCCACCCGCAGCGCAGCGCCGCCTGCGGTCAGCGCGGCGAGTTGCGTCCTCTCTGCGCGCCTATCCGCTCCTCGCGCGTCCGCCGCCCGGAGTCTTACCGCCTGCAGCTGCCTCCGCTCGCGCCGCCGCTGCCGGTGCCGGTACCGTGGAAGGACGAGGGCCAGGACATGCGGGAAGTGCGCAGGCCGGGCCGGTCGCCGGTGTCCACGGCGTCGGCACGCTCTATGGGCCGGTGTGGGGACCGTGCGGGCTCTGCGCGCTCCGCGCTGTCGGAGTAGCCGCGCTGCTGGATACGAATGGGGGTCCGCGGCTGCCGCCACAGGTGCTGGGGGGGCGGCTTCAGGGTGGCCTGGCCCTCCCGGGGCCCGGGCAGAGACAGAGACAGGCTCCTCTCCGAGGGGGCGGCCGGGGGCTCCATGGCGCCGGCCCCCTCCTGCGCCCCGGGGGACCCCGGCCTCTCCAAGCTTCCCCCTGCTCAGCGGCGCGCTAGCCGACGCGCCCGAGGCCCCGCGGGTGCGCCTGGCCTCGGTGGGGCCATGGCGCCCCGGGGACAGACCCGGGGGCGCTACGGGCCGGTCGCCCCCGGGCCGGGCGCCGCGGCTTTCTGTCGGCGGCTGGCGCTCTGCTCGGCGCCCGGCAGCGCTCTCCGCGCTCGGCACCCCGCTCCGCGCCAGCCCCGGCTCCCCCGCCCCGTTCCGCCCCTCCCCGCCCCCCGCCCGCCGCTCTGTCAGCGCCGCCCCCCTCCTCCTCCTCCTCCTCCGTCCGGGCTAGTGGGGGGCAGCCACCCAAGGAGGGGGGCCCTCCCCGCCCACGCAGAGCCCCGCTCCCGGAGGGGAGGGGGCGCCGGAACTCGGCTCTCTCCTGAGCGCCCTGCCTAGCCGCGGCGTGCACGGGAAAGAAGGAGTTAAACGGTTAATCCGATCAGGAAGAAGACACCCGACTGGTTGCCGGTGTGTCAGTCAGTCCATCCATCATGGCGGGGGCGGAGCCCTATGCTGGCGTGTCCTCGCCGCTACCCCTGGCCGGGGGGGCGCATGTGGGGAGTGGTCCCGGTGCCACCGACGCGGTCTCTGCTGCCGGCAGCGGCGACGTTCGGGGATTCTCCTGTTGGTGGGTCGGAAGATGGTGATGGTGTGTGCCCAGGGCGGGATGTGCGTGCACGTGGCCCCTTCCGAGGGTTGTCTGTGTTTTTGGTGTCGGCTGGAAGTGTGTGTGCGCACGTGGTTGGCTGCTGCGGTCTGCCTGTTTCTCTGGATTTCGCTGTGTGTGTATCAGTGTGTCTGTGGGTGAAGGAGGTGTGCGCACGTGTGCTGCTTGTTTGGAGGGTGTGCGCCGCTGTGGGGTCTGTTCTGGTGGCCTGGGGCTGTGCATGTGTACCCACGCGTTTGGGTGTGTATTGTGGTCGGTCCGTGCTTGCGGAGTTGTGCAGGCAATTCAGCCTCGGCTGTTTGACTGTGGTGTCTGAAGGAGCCTATACGTGTTGGTGTGTGTGTGGTCGGCCTGAGGGCCGCTTTGGGGTGTTTCTGGGGTGTGTCCCTTTGGTTCCCGTGTGGCTCCAGGAGGACACCCCGGCTGCCCGCCCACCGCTCTGTGTATCGCTGCCTCTTGTAAAGCGCTTCTACAGAAGGTAAACTGAGGCAGGTCTCCGGCAGCCGCGGGATGCACCCCCATGCCCTTTTCAGGCGAGTAAACAGCCGCGCCTCCTCCCCGCGGCCCCCGCCGGCAGAGCCCCCCTTCCGGCACCTAAATCGGGAGTCGCCGTGACTCACGCTCCCGCCTCCCCCAGCGCCGCGCCGAGCGAGCGAGCAGAGAACGAGCGGGATCCGAGCGCCACCCTCCCCCCATCTCTGCCGCCCCGGCCGCGACGGAGCCCTGGCGGTGGCCAGGCTTGGGGAGCGCTATCGCCCGGGTGCCCCACCCCCGGGGCCGACGCGCGCTCGGACGCTAAACGGTTCTGGTGCGCGTCCCCAGAACCAGGTCCCCGCCCCCGCGTGCCCCCCTCACTGACTCCCCGGGGCAGGCCGTGCTGTCTGCCACCGCCCTCCTCCCCCCCATCCCCCCCAGAACTGTTCTTATTAAAAAAAAAAAAAAAAAAGCGGCCATCTCCAACCCCCATAGCCGCTTTTCTCCCCGCCCGAGGGGCTCCGGGCGTGGGCGAATGCGGAGCAAGAACCCGCCCCGCATTAGCAGCCGCGGGGTATCCCAGAAGCCAGAACTGTGTCTCCCACTTCTCTCAGGGACCCTCCCCCCGCAGTACATAGTCAAAACGGCTTCTGGGGATTGGCAAGGGCTGCCAGTCCTCTCCAGATCATTTGAGGGTCCTGGGCTGGGCCAAATTCTTGGGGACTGGAGGCTGTAGCGTTGCCCGGAGCTCTGGGTAACAAGGGATGGGGGCGGAGGGGGCGGATAGACCACAGCGGGGTGGGGGTGGGGCGGTTTGGGAAGAAGGACCCAAGGCAGTGGGCTAAGGCTGGTGTTTGGAGCTCTGGTCTGAATCCGGGTTAGACCATGCTGGCCCTGAACCTGGCAGAGGGTAGAAGGATGATTTGGGGGCAGGGGGAGTTGGAGGGAGATACATTACACCCAGGGAGGGGGGGGGAATGACAGTCACTTCCGTCCCCCTTCTGGAAATGAAGCATTATATCATGACCCAAGCAGAGACCCTGGAGACCTCCAAGTGAGTAGATAAAGGGTGGGGAAGATGGAGGCTGCAGAGAACAGTGGCCTGAGGAGGGCAGTAGGGGCAGGGGCCTGGCCAGCAGCCCGGGCAAGCTCAGCTGTCCAGCTTTCAAACTCATCCTCCAGCCAAGATGGGGGCTGAAGTGCCCTCGGAGGACCCCAGATGAGAAGGAGCAAGGGGTTCACACATACCTCTTACATCTACCCCCAAGAGAAAGAAAAATGCCAGTCCAGCCCTCCTCCAGGGTCTCAGCATCCCCTTTAAGTCCTGGAAGGAAGTGCAACCTCCCAGGAGAAATAGAAGCACACAGCTGACTGGTGGGAGACCCACTCCCTAACCTGCCCCAGCTCTCTGATTGTGGGGGCATGACGGGACTGGAGGGCTGAAACCCTTTCCACAACCCTGCCTCTTGCTGACTCAGGCAGCTGCAAAATGGAAGACGGGATTCCTAGAGGCTGCAAGGGGCACCCTGGGGAAGGGGCGTCACAGCCTGACCCACAGGGCTCCAGAAGTTTCAGCTGATTTTGTGAAAGGCCAGGGGCCTGGAGCATGGAAACGGCTGGTGGCTGGCCCTGAATCTCCACCCCACCTCCCAGCCTGGCCCCCTCCTGCCTACCTGTCAGCTTTGGTGATGGAAATCCGTGGAGGGACCAGCAGTGGCAACGTGGTGGGCCTTGGCGGCAGTGGGACCCCAGGGTCTGAGGGCTCAGTCTCGGCCCAGCCCAGGCCCGGACCCGTGGAAAGGCGACGGCGAGGTCGTCGGAGGTCGGCCCCCAGCATTTTGGCACTGGTGGGCTCCGGGGTCTCCCACGGCCTCTGAGGAGGGACAAGGACAGGATAGGGGCATGGCCTCACCAGGCCGTTCTGAGCCCCTCCCTCCAGTAACACCCTTCCCTAGCCACCTGAGAAAGTGGCTGATGGGGATATAGACTCCTTGTGTCCCCCTCACATCTTAGCCACTCGCTGATCCCTCCCACAAAGGGCGCTTTCCCACCCCTTCTCAGCCATAATTCTTATAGGGCTCCCTTTTGATGTTCCGGCCCTGGGGCTCTGGACCCACTGTGTGACTCACTGTGAAGCCCCTCTAACATATCCCCGCCCTGCACGCCTACGAGGCCCCTCCTGGCCTTACAGTCTGTGGCTCCTCCCCCCATCTTAGACCCTCAAGACCTTACCCCCAGCACCCCTCCTTCACCCTACAATCCTCTCCCCACCGGGGAAGCCCCTTGGAAGCCCCTGCCTTCTGTCCCGGGGCTGAGAGCCTCTTAATCCAGGCAGCAGGAAAATTATGGCATCAAGGGAGTAAACTGAGGCACAAGGCGACGACAACTCAGGTTTGAGGATGTGAAGCCACACTTAGTGAACCGCCATAGTCACAAGAGGGCGCCCGTCTCCCCCGCGGCCCAAGCCCCGCCCCCAGCCCAGGCCCCGCCTCTCTCACCTCGTCCCCGGGCCCGGCCACCGACAGGACACTGCGGCTCCTCTTCATCCCGCCAACCTAGCGCGCCGTTGGGGCTGCGGGCGTCATGTCCGCCCGGGCCAGCGCCTCCTGAAGGACCAAGCCGAAGGCATCCGCCATTAGTGCCCTGGGGCTCCCCCTGCCGGCCGAGCCTGAATCATACCCTCCCTCGCTGGTTTTCCTCTCCGGAGGCGTGACGTCAGCAGGTGGCTGACGCACTGCCCGTCGGGTGACGTCGCCCGCCCGTTGCCAGAGCGACAGCTGACGCACGGCTAGGGTCTGGACGGCGTCAATGCCCAGGTTGGCCACTGGGGGGCCGGGAGCCTCGGGACCGGGTCGCCCCAGCCCCCACCCGTCCTCCCTCGGGGGCTTCCCCCGGCCTGGGGATCCCGCAGAGAAGACCGGGAGCTCCCAGGAGCGGCCGCGTGTGGCGCGTGGTCCGAGCCGGGGGCCGGAGGAAGCGTCTCCTCCGAGCTGTTGGGCTTTTATGCCTAAACCCGAAATAGCTCCGATGTGCGGGGGCCGGGCGCAGCGAGACGGCGGCTTGGGCACAGATGGGGGACGCACAAGCAGAGGCGCGCGGAGACAGACAGGGACGCGTGGAAATAGAAACAGACAGACAGGGACACAGACGCAGCTCCCGATGATGAGTGCGCTCTGCTGCCGGCGATCCTTGCCTGAAAGCCTGGAGGAGGGGGAGGCTGGTTCGCTTCACCTTCGCACCCAGGTGCTGCGAATTACTGCTGTGTGGCCATGGGTCAAGGACAAACTCTCTGAGCCTCAGTTTCTCCTCTGTGAAATGGAATGATAATCCCTACAGGGTCCATGTGAGAATGAAATGAGATCAGACCGTACTGAATTCTCACAGGACAGTGTCTGGCACTCAGTAATTTGCTTAATACTAACAACATCTGAGCCTGAGAGAGCCTGTTAGAACCCAAGTCAGATCATGTCCCTCCTCTGGTCAGAGCCCTCTATGGCTTTTATTTCACTGAGAGGAAAAATCAAAGCCCTCAAGAGGAGGCCCACACAGTCCTGGCACAGTGTGCCCAGTCACCTCCCGGTCCTCACCTCTTACCACTCCCTCTCAGCCTTTGCTCCATCCACACTGGTCTGGGCTGTTTCTGGACACACCAGTCACACTCTAGCCTTAGGGCCTTTGCACCTGCTGGTCCTGCCTGGATCTCTTCCCTTAAATATCCACAGGCTTCTCACATTCTTCAGTTCTTTGCTCAGATCTCACCTTTTCAGGCTTTTCTCCTGGAGGTTCTCTCCATCCCACCCCTGTTTAAAGTTGCTAGCCCCTCAGGACTCCCAATCCCTCTTATCCTGCTCTATTTTTCACAGGTCTTAGCGCCTGATAATGTACTATGTAATTTATCTATTACACTTACTGTCTCTTCCCACATTAGAATATCAGCTGCAGGAGAGCAAGAATATTTTATCTATTTTATTCATTACCATATGCCCAGTGCCTAGAACCGAATCTGGAACATAGCAAGCTCTTAGT